AGGTTCAAAACAAAAACAGGCCACTAACCAAAATAAACAATCAATACAGACTAACATGTTTTATAAATAAACAAGAAACTAATTATAAAGCACAAAAAGTGTAAGAAATTTGAAAGTGTAAAGATTTACCTAATCGTATATCAACAAAACATATTAACACGATACACAACAACAAAATGTTCAAATCTCCTCCCTCCCGGGGGGATTGAACGTAGGCCTGGTAGTACTACAAAACTGTTTAAAACTAGAGTTTTTTGGGCACAACTTACCTACAAATCGTATTTGGCCACAATTCAGGCTACAAAAGACTCTTGGTTCCCCAGGAGGCCAACTTCAGGATTCACACAATTTGAACTTTTTATTGGACCGGACAGAAATGTCTACAGTCTACTGTCGCTGTACTACAAAAAGCGAGTACACACCAAGGTGATCCTTACAGAATAGAGATGGGCGATCCAGTTGGACTGTTTTTCTAGGATATCAGCCGGCCTCAATCTTCCTTACAATTTAAGGCGTGGTTCAGCAATGTTCAACCCAAATTTGCATGCTTTCAGATCCATGATGTGATAAACCTCGTGTTACACTCCAACGTTTCGAGCTTCATAAGCACCCAAATTGTAAAGTTGGGTGTGGGTTACAGTTTTGGGAAACCACATGGGTATAATAGACTCTATAGACGATCAACACCCTTTTTCACGCCAAAATTGCTGATGTTTTGCTGGAGGTTCTACTTGGCCCGTGTTCTTCACCCCGGATCCCCCATCTAATTGGGGTCCGGGCGGTCCTCGTCGCGAAGCGACACGAATGTAGATTGTAGATTGTCAGTCAATACCCATGACGGATCCATGGTGCTGCTATATATGGTAACATTTAACATGGATCCCATCAATATACCCCATTTATGTTAGCATTAATATACCAGCACCATGGATCCGTCATGGGATATCAAACAAGTACCCTCTGGTAAACTAACATAACTATGGAAAGATCCACCATGTTTAATGGGTAAATCAACTATTTCTATGGCCATTTTCAATAGCTACATAACAAATTACCATTTAGGGTAACAAGTCTTTTTTCAACGCTTCATGGACCCCGGACCGAGGCAGTCACCGCATCACACCGCTGGAATCCGATGGAAATATCTTCTGATGGTGGTTGCATCCCCTGAAAAAAGAAAACATGTTCGTCATTACGTACGTCATCCCATTGAACAGTGGTTTTTCACATGCAATTATTTGATGAAGATATTCCATTCGAAAACTCCACCTTCTGATGGTTATTTACCCTCTGGTAATTTCTTACATATAGCTATTGAACATACCACATTTATAGTTCGTTGATTTACCTAGATCAAAAATGGTGAGTTTCCAGTTCGCAAACTGTAAACTGTAAACGTTCGAAAAAACCAGAGGCTGCCTGCTCCAAAATCTGAAAAAATCACCGTTGATCCCAAACATGTCAACATGTCCACCTCAGCTCAGTGCCAACATTAGGGTTGCTTGGAGGTCAGAGTTCCGCAACCTCGTCGCGAAGCGCCGTTCGGCGCATGCCATGGTGCCATGATGCCATGGTGCCATGACCTTTGAAAAGCCAATAAAAAGTTGGAAAATGTCACGTTTCATCGCATGACTTCAAAGGAAAACGTCAGACAAACCCTGACGTATCTCGCATCAATGGATGGATTGATATTGATTCAAGAGAAAATGTACTGGAAACCCTGAGGTTTCCTGTAAATTCTTCTTCGTATGAATTCTAGGATCATGGGGGTAGCATCCGGATATCCCCATCGGGTATCTTGCACAACAACGATCGAATTGAGTCGATTTGCTTTTTGCCCCCTCCTGAAGAATTTGAACGTTATTGGGGAGAAAAACATCCCATTATTTTAGGATGAAAAACCACATCAAACATCTGAAACCAAAAGGTACCTGGCTCCTAAAACGATCCGGCCATGCTTTTAAAATGGTGCTAGCGTTGGTCTGGCGGAAATTCTCCTTGAAGTTCAAAGTTATATCCCATAGGATCCATGGTGCTGCTATATATGGTAACATTTACCATCAATATACCCCCAATGTTAGCATATATACCATACATGGATCCTATGGGTATACTCACTACTATAAGTGCTACGACCATCTACGACACGCTGTGGCTACGATTTACCCCATGGCTTAGTTTTCTGGGCCTCCAATGGTCTCCAGTTTTCTGTCGGAAATCCCAGGGTTATCCGGAAAAAAACCCTGGCTGGTGGTTTCAACCAACCCGTCTGAAAAATATGAGGAGTGAAAGTCAGTTGGGATCATGAAATTCCCAATATGAATGGAAAGTCATGATCCATTCATGTTCCAAAGCACCAACCATAACTGTAGTAAACTTGCCATCTCCAACTGCACCAACCGCACCAAGCGTCAGATTCGTATGATTGTGATAAGGCTTCAATCGTCAAGTCGTCTAAGAGCTGCATGGGGCGCTTCCCAGGAAGACGGACGGACACCTGCGATGTGCAAAAGGAATGTTAACAACGACACCCGAAAAATCTTGCAGCAACAGTGATGGCCCGAAATACCACTTAAAAGTACTTGTAACATCTTGTAACTCAGAACCCCAACATTTACGGAATGTATATATATAATCCCGTTTATACGCAGTTAAAACTATTATTAAGGACCATCATCACTTGCAGAAAAAAACAGAGGACCCGGCGTTTGACCCGCCTTCTTGTGAGAAAAAAAGCCGAAAGACTCAGGTCAAGTGAGTTGTACATCAAAAAGTTGTGCTCTCCCATCGCTTATCGTTTTTTCGTGCTCTCAGTACAACTCCAGGTGAGCAACGGCCGGTGGTGTTCAAACTTCAAACCTCAGCAGACGGAGCAGCTGAGCGAGCGAACATCATAGAACTATGAATGTCCCAGCGACTACCCCCTGGTAATTGAACATAATTAGCTATTGAAAATGGCAATAGAAATAGTTGATTTACCCATTGAAAATGGTGATGTTCCATAGTCTTTTGAATGTTTACCAGCGACTAGCCTCCCAAAAATGAGTCAATCCAAAGAGTCAACTGTTTATTTGATGTTCCCAAAATCGGATGCAGTTGAGTGAAGAATTGTACCACCAACACAGAAATGGATACTTTTCTCCAAGGCGCTCCACCGCAAAGCTGCAGTGGGTGTTTTTGGGAGCTCTAAGCCAAGGTTGCGGCAACCAGGAAATCTCGTTCCTGAAGATTTGCAAAATATCTGTGCTGAAATGCAAAATGGTTCTTGAAATGTAAGTGATTCATGAAAAAGGTGTTTGCATGTTTTCTTTCACACTGGATGTTAGCTCGGATTGCCTGAAAATGGACAAGTCATGATAACTCTAGAGAAATTAGAAGTTCAAACATGGAATGGAAAAGATGTTGGTAAGTAATATCCATGTATGGTTGCAAGTCGAAATTACGAACCCCGCAACTCCCAGATTTACCTTCGCTGCATTGACCACCTCAATGTGGTCAAATTGACGCGGCGACACGCATGAAGCCACTCCAGCGCTTCCACACGCTTTCACACAAATCCCAAAGAAATATGAAGACTACCCTCTGGTAATTTGTTACATAGCTATTGAACATGGCCCAGTCGAAATAGTTGATTTTCCCATTAAAAATGGTGATTTTCCATAGTTTTTTGTATGTTTACCAGAGGGTACATCTCCCAAACTCAGCAACCAAAGCTGGTCGGGATCAAACTCCAATGGATCGAAGACTGGACAACAGGGGCAACACATCACATGGAAAAAACGCAGCAAGAAAACACATGAAAACACAAGAATTTGGCATGCTTGACTGCACAGAAACTGTTGTTTGCCCATGTTTACATTTACATTTACAGTTAAAATTACATTCACATTTACATTTACACTTACATTTACTACAACAACAACAACAACAGCAGCACCAACACCAACACCAACAAGAACAAGAGCAAGAACAAGAACAAAAACAAGAACAAGAACAAGAACAACAACAACAACAACAACAACAACAACCAACAACAACAACAACAACAACAACAACAACAGCACAACCAACAACAACAACAACAACAAAAACAAAAAACAACAACAAAAAAAACAACAACAACAAAAAAAACAAAAACAACAAAAAAAAAAACAACAACAACAACCACAACCACAAACAACAAACAACAAGCAACAAACGACAACACACAAACAACAACAAACAACAAACAGCAAACAGCAACAGCACCAGCAGCAGCAGCAACAGCAACCAGCAACCAGCAACAAGCAACAAGCAACAAGCGACAAGCAAAAAGAAAGAAGAAAGAAGAACGAAGACCGAAGAACGAAGAACAAAGAACAAAGAAAGAAGAACGAAGAAAAAAGACCGAAGAAAGAACCAAGAACCAAGAACCAAGAACCAAGAACCAACCACCACCCACCACCCACCCACCACCACCACCCCCCACCACCACCACCACCAACAACAACAACAACAACAGCTGCCAGCCACTGATGCACGCCAAATCTGAAGAATTGCCCATGTGGAAAATGCATGCTGATAAATATAGGATAGTAAAGGTATGTATAATAATGTATATATATATATATGTACATATGTTACATCTTCACACCAATGTTTCGCAAAGTATTATAGTTTTATATATATATATATATATACATATATATATATATACGCATTCACATCTTACACATATGTACTAAACTTACTAAACTTGACTGCTTAACTGCTTGATACTGTTTGATCATCTGCTAGCATTGTCTAACCAAAAGTTGGGTCAAGGTGGATCCAGAAGCAACACGAAAACCATCTACAAAGTGCAGTTCTGCAGAAAGCGGCACTATCGCACTACTGTGGCCCAACTAACGGCTATAAATAGGAGTATGACACTTGCAACTAAGGTTACATAAAACTTAATTGAATCATAAGCCTATATTATAAGCCAGTTATAACTGTTAATGTAACTGTATACTTCATGGGTAAAAATCAATGTTCACCGGCTTGTACCTCAGAGGGCGGACACAGTGATGATCCGATTTGATCTCTCAGCCATCCCAGCAGAAGCTGCAGGAAATCTCGCACCAAGCAGAGATCCATACCTCAGCGCGCGAAGCCGCGGCTGTGTCGAGTGGACGGCGAGTCTGAAATCATGGATTGTTTTTCACAGGGACCATTAAAACCGGAAACCCCCCCATTTTTTGGAGAGCAGGACGCTGTGAGAGTGCACTTTTTATTGTTTGTTCAAAACTGTAATCACATGTTAAAGCTCAAGCTACAGATGAAGCTGTGTTCATGTCCACTGGAGAGTATGTATCGCTTGAAGAAGTGTCCAGGTGTTCACTCTACCTTAAATAAATGCTACTACAGCGTCCCTTCAACAAAACACAAATCCTGCAGAATATGCTAGATGACTTCAACATAATTACAACATCCCCATACCTGCCAACAAATGCAGTATTCTAAACAAACATACCCTTCTGAATAAGAGTAATCTTCCTTTGGGGCAATGCACTGTGTTTTTGAAGAGACCATATCCAAACAAAATATGAAGAATTTCTTGAACAGTTGCACCGTGCCCTTTGAAGGAGTGCAGTGTGCATGTCCAGATGTCTAACCCTCCTTTCAAAGGAGCAGTACCCCCTTTAGAAAAGTCAATATGTCTGCACAATATATGCAGTATTATTGACATAGAGCATCCCTTTCAAAAGTGCAATATGTTTGAAACTGTGAGCATTAATAAAGAATGCTCTTTCGCTTCTTACCACAGAACAACAGAATATTGTCCTGCATGGCAAAAAAAATCTTCCTGAGCAGCATTCTTGGAAAACTCGGTTACTTTTGTTTGACATGTGCACTTTCCCCTTGGTCAGATAAGCCCAGCCTTGATTTAGACAACTCTCACTTTAAAAAAAGTTTTCAATACTATCCAACAGTAACGTATTCGTTTAATCAAACATCTCACTCATATCAAGGGGATGTTGCACAAATTCAACAACAGATTCTTCAAGGACGACTATACTCTTTCAAAAGAGTGCTACATGCATACAGTATACCATATGTTCAAACAATGTTTGATCGTCTTAGGATTTAAAGATGCACATTCTTCATTACAATATTCTTCAAGAGGAGAGCTGCCTACACCAAAGGGTGTTATTCTCAAATTCTCAAAATATGTTTCACTGTCTTGGAAGAATATCACATTATGCCATAATGCAGTCAAAAAATGATGTGCAATTGTGAAGGAAATTCGTTCACGTGCTTACATATACCATGTGTTCTTCTTTTGAGAAAACATATTGTGAACAGGGCATTACATGTGCAAGAGGGTTCATTTTTGACATAGAAGTAGACTAAGACATGACCTACTTCAAGGGGATGTTCTACCATTTTAAAGGAAATGCAGTTGTTGAAGGGAGCACTCACTTCAAAGAGATGCATCACTTCGTTTCAAGGGATTTTTTTAAAGTGTTTGAACATGTGTTAACTTAAGGGTTTGGCCCAACAATGTCAATATCAAAATCAGTTCTACACATTCATTGGCTGCCTATGTTTTTGCATGTTTTAACACATTTTGAAAAAGTACATAAACAAAACAGGCAAAATTGCCTAATCTGTGTCCCAAGCCTCCCAAGCTTCCCCCCAGTGATCTAAGCATGTTGCTATGGTTTTTACATGGTTTTCTAATGGAACCACAGGCCCAAAGCAAACAATGGAAACAACCAAAAGTATCCAAAAGTAAATTTGCAACCCCTAAAGTGGGAGAACTGGCAAAGAGTTAGGTCTAGGTCCTTCACTTTTGTGCTGTTTTGCCAACCCTTCAAAAAAACCAACAACGAACCAGAAAACAAGACACCAAAAAAAACAAAAAAAAACAAGAAACCAGAAAATTTATAGTCCCATTGTAATCCCATGAAATTTACAGTGTTTTATAGATCCCAATAGTTACCCTGCCTGGTGCAGGTTGTCGCAACCATCCACAGTAAGTCTAATATGTCTAGGCTTGATGCCAGAGATATTCACGATCAAGCATTGCCATTTGGGGAGCACTTCCTAGTTTCAGACATGCCCATGTTGATTAAGAGCAGGGCACTAATCCCCGAAAGTCTCTTAATGGGACTTCTACGATAGCTAAGTTGGTGAAAATAACTACAACCACTAGGGTTTATGGTTGTTATAACGATGATGTCAGATGGGGTTACAAACCAACTCAGAACATTTGGGGCCCCCACATTGTAAGCGTGGTTATAACCCACTTATAAATGGAAAACCCTAGAAAAACTTACTAACCAGGCTCATTAACCACTCAGATCCCAACATTTTGGCACGTCCATTGGCTTTCCATACAATGTGAGGCCCCCGGCCACGAAATCGCTAAGTTGGGGTGAACTAATCACTCCAATTTCACTATGGTTTATGGTACGCAAGTAACGAACTAGTTACTGGGGTTTTTGTTAACCAACAAACAAAACTTGTTGGTGGTTTCAACCCCTCTGAAAAATATTAGTCAGTTGGGATTCTTATTCCTAATATATGAAAAAATAATCCAAATGTTCCAAACCACCAACCATATATATATATATATATCATTTATATGTTACATATTATCAAAATTCTCTGGCTATCTATGGTTTCTATCCCAAATTCACCTAGTGAAAATGGCCGTTTATAGTTGATTTACATATTAAACATGGTAGATATTTCCATAGTTATGTTAGTTTACCATTAAATATGAAAGTCAGTTGGGATTATTATTCCCAATATATGGAAAACTAAAATTCATGTTCCAAACCACCAACAAACCACCAAAAAATATTTGCCCCACAAGACGTATCTTTTCCTCACCCATCCCTGCTTCGTTTTCTTCGCTTCGCCACGTTTCAGTTCCCTTCGCACCTGTGGATCATCCCCAGAGAAATCCGTGAAAAGATTCGGCCCTTCGGCCCCAAGGTGAAGGCAGTTAGCCTCTGGTAAACTTACAAAAAGCTATTGAACATGGCCATTTGTAGTGGATTATCCCATTAAAAATGGTGATGTTCCATAGTTATGTTAGTTTACCAGAGAGTATTTTGATGGCCAAAATTCATGATTTCATGCAAGTTATGGCCATGGCTACTAGTTCTAGCTGGTTATTAAAACTGGTTATAAGCAACTAAGAGTCCTTTAACTAAATGGGCCTATTTCATGACATATAACCAATTAGTATATAGGCACTTCGTGATATCTAACCAATATTTACCAACTAGTGATAGGGGTTTGTTCATTCCACAACTGGTGACCATAATTCCGGATCTCTTCCAAAGTACAGAACATTCTCTACGATTGCCAAACGCCCCAAAGTATAGAATTACTTGGATTTCCTTGAGGCAACCCCTCCGGGGGAAAAAAAAAACGTCGATTCCCCAAGTACCCTCTGGTAAACTAACATAGCTATTGAAAATGGCCCATTTATAGATGGTTTACCTATTAAAAATGGTGATTTTCCATAGTTATGTAAACGTTTACCAGAGGGTAATGGAATTCCCATTTGGAAAATAAAAAACCATCGACTCAGCAAATTTATAAGATTGGATAACATGGATTACCCTCTGGTAAACGTTTACATAACTATCGAAAATCACCATTTTTAATAGGTAAACCATCTATAAATGGGCCATTTTCAATAGCTATGTTAGTTTACCAGAGGGTAACCGCCCAAATATCATATTGCTGAGTACTACTGTACATATATCCCATTCACATTCATTAATATCCCATCAATATCCCATGCGTGATCAATATCCCCATCATCAATATCTCATTAATATCCCAGTCATACGTATCCATCTCCCAGTCATAGTCCATTAATCCCATTAATATCCCGTTGATAGTTGGATTGGTTGGTCTATGATGTCCTGACCGTCCCCGGATGTCACCATTGCTGGTTGAACGGATCTATGCCTCAACCAACAAGGCCCCCCAAAGCGGCGAGAATTGTTTGAGTCACAAAAAAAAGAGATAAAAATAACTAGCTGGTTGGTGGTTGACCTACCCATCTGAAAAATATGAAAGTCAGTTGGCATTATTATTTCCAACTTATGGAAACATAAGAAATGTTCCAAACCACCAACCAGCTAGTGAACTATAGTTATCTTTTATTCAGCGACCTCTAGTGAATTATACTTCTCTGTTGTTCATTTATATAGTCACCATTTATGTTCAACCACCAGTTTAGTGAACATGTACGTTTCTATCTTTTGTTGGCGGTTGCTACTGTATATATATATATACCTATAATGAAGGAGCAACGCGGATTGGGTGATTTTGGGGATGGAATGTTGGCCACAATTCAAACCCGACCCGACCGGGTGTCCTGGTGTCCATGGCTGGGAAATCCACTCATAGGAACATCCGCTATAGATGGGAAAGTTTCAAATGCCATGTTTGATTACTGTAGGGTTCGTTTGTAATTATTGACTAATACTACTGCGTTTTTTTCTGTTTGTCTCACACATACTGTAAATACAAAGTATGTTGGGCGGCAAATTCAAAGAATTGATAATCTTAGATACTCTGTATGTTTCAAACCTGTTTAGTACATGGGTTTGTCTGAAAATGGTGTATCATGTGTATCCACAAGTTCCATATAGCCAGTTTTTATGGGAAAAATGTCAACCCTGGATTAACAAACCCCAAACGGCCGTTTAATTGGGAGGATACCATAAAAAAGTATCATTCATCATGACTATTGGAGGAGTACCCCCTTAATTGTCATAAACCATGGTTTAGCAAAATCCGGGGTTGACATTAATTCTACCCCCATTTTCAGACACATATTGGAGCAGTTTTCATACACGCATCTGCGGTCCCTTTATACTGGCTGGGTACTACTGTGGATGGTTTCGAAATCCTGCACCAGTTGATAGATGGTTTATCCAATTATTCATAGGGTTTCAACCATCCAAGGTGGTGCAGGATTTCTTCCATCCACAGTAGGATTTCCCAGTTCATGGACTATTGCATATATTGGGTAGACCCCGAACTAATCATTACATATCCGACATTATCCCACAAGGGTTGCACACAGTGCACATGACATGTTGGTTTGACCCATCATAATCCATGTAATGTGGTTTCTTTTACAATTATAATAAAGATAATAAACCATCCCCCAGGAAAATCACCATTTTTATAGGTGCTATGTTTACCTACCATTCCCAAATGGGTTGTTTATTATTGTGGCCCACCCCCTAGGCTTCGGAGTCCACCGGAGCGTTCAAAATGGGGGAACTTCCAGATTTGGATAGCCTTAAATTTCTACGGGATATCATGAGGATTATAACATATTATAACCTAAGTGGGATGAACCACCAAGTATAAGACATAGTTGTAATTTATTAATTTATATATCTGGTTGGTGGTGAAAAAAACCCTCTGAAAAATGATGGACTTCGATAGTTGGGATGATTTCCCGCAATCTAACCATGATTCCAGTGAATTTACCCAGATATATATAATATAAGCTATACAGTATCTACCGCAAACTCAACATCGTCAGCTGTTTCAACCAACTTAGCTACCAAACTGGGGCATCACCAAACATTGGAAACCAATCATGCAGCCCCTTGCCCTTGTCATAGAGAATCTTGAACATTCCCATCTTCTGAACATATTAAATACTATGCGTATATCACCTGCCGACTGGTCCCCTAATGAACAAATCCAGACCCCTAAACAAGGATTTCGACTGGTGAGTAATGATGTTCCAATATTCAAGGCAAGATTATCTATATATGCATATATGCGATCATATACGACTATAATGACTAAAACCCACTTCGCGATATTTATATTATATGTTTATAAACATGTATACAATGTATGTATGTATATATATACATATACAGTTATATATATATATATTAATATATAACTGTATATATATATCGTTGCATATATATATATCGTTATATAATATTGTTAGTCATTGCCCAGTTACAACATGGTTATACTGCTAAATCTTACCCAGTCAGTACCTAGTTCTATTTTTTTGCTGCATTGCTTCCACTGTCGCGCCTCCAATGGTTTATGCAGCCAAAACCTGACGCTGCCAGCTGGTTTATGGGTCATGGTGAGTGTGTCAGTTATATATATATACATATTATATTATATTACATTACATTATATTATATTATATTTTGTTTCATTATATCATATTATATTATATCATAAATATTATTGTGTTATATTACACAAAATCGATCTATCTCTCTGTCTGTCTATCTATATATGTTTCTATCTATGTGTCTATCTCTCTATTTGTGTATCGACTCTCTCTATCTATATGTCTGTCTATCTAGCTATCTATATATCTACGTACCTACCCACCTAGCTTAGCTAGCTACGAATACTATTTATCTATATCATTCTATATCTATCCATTGATATTGGGCAACAAGAAAGCTCCACTGGATGTGTTGGGGGATATATCAATGACCTGACCTCAGTTGACACTAGAAACCCTGGTCATAAGTACAACACAATCAAGGGGTAAATACCATGCTTGATGGGTAAATTTGGAACGCCTTTTTTTGGGGTGTGCCTCAAACCTGGGAATAATTAATTACAGCAGTTTGCTGTTATTTAAAATCATGTCAACATATTGAACATGATGAGCCGCGAGGTGTTGGGGTGCCGAAGTTTGAGATAGTCCGGCCCATACAGCCGACTTGACTACACCAGGGTCTTGATTGGGGTGCATTTACTATCAAATAAAAGGGATTAATGTGGTAAACTCAATCATAAACCATCCCAGTAATCACCAATTTTATGGGTGGGATTTCAACCACCCCACTTCCGCGTAGGTTTAAACAATTGGGTTGCTGACATCACAACACAACCGACTCCCAAATTTTGTTGTCGTTACTCCTGAACTGGGACGCCCATTCTTAAGATCTACTACCCTTCGTTGACCCATAGAAATTGGCAAACACACGACAAAATCATAGTGCTGGGTAAATTACAATAATTAATTCACAAACCTGAAATGTTGGGCCATTTTGGGATAATTCCCCTTAGTAACCATGATTCCAGTGAGGGAGAACAGTGAGGTCGTTATAATTTACCCAGTGTAAATACCAATAATCAGTCACATGGCTGGAAATTCCGCCGGTTTCAATGATTTCCCCAGCCACCACTTGGGTAGACAAATCACGTCTTGTTTATGAGCTCCCCATCAACAAGCTTGTTGGGGCGAAGTCCCCCTATGCTAATCTACAACTGGAAAAGAAGTTGTCATCTTTGGAGATTGATCGATTGTTCCCCTAATCCTAACCAGTATCAAGGTTTACCCTCTGGTAATTCAATCATAGTTATGGTATAGATGACCCAGTTACTTCGATGAATCAAAAAAACGCTAGATGGTGATTTACCTTAAAACTATGTGACTTTACTGAAGGGTATCACGGTATCACCAATCATCATTTTGATCATTTTCTCTGGTTGAAAAAAATGACAAATATTTGAACCCCCCAATGAGTCAAGGTTTATCCCCAAAGTCGGAGGAAAAAAAAAACACGTTTTTTCCTCAAACTAGGGCCGCCAACATTGAAGCCTTTCGGACGCCTTTCCACCACTCCTGGATTCTGGCTACGGTGCCGAAAAGTGTGGTACCAGGATGGTTCGATGATGGCAATCCCACTACTCTCCAGGTTCGCAACTTTGTTGGCAGCCTTCTTGGGGTTGCATTGCAACTGGTCCAAGGAAACCAGGTCCCAGTGGCATATTCCATATGCCATAAATGGGTGAACTATGCTTATAATAATGACGATGCTTCTAAGTTTCTGTATAAACCCAGGTATTCATTCAATCCTCCATAGTTATCTACGATTATCTAGGTATGTTTGTTAATTTATACCCTCTGGTAAACGTTTACATAACTATGGAAAATCACCGTTTTTATTGGGTAGTTATCAACAATTTCTATGGTTCTTTTCAGATTTTCCAGTTCGCTCTGTAACAAATTACCAGAGGCTAATCCTCCTAATCCAACCGCTATCGCGCCTTGCCCACCAAGGCAAGCGATAGAAATCCGATACAGGATGGGCCCCCCCCAGTGATGTGAACGTTGGTTTATAAACCCATTAACCATGAATACCATAGTTCTATCTACCATAAACCGTAGAATTCAGCCACTTTTTTAGGCAATGTAGGCCCCGGTTATTAAAAAATGCTTTACAACCCCATTGACTATAGTTATAAGTATCAACATTCATAAACCATAGTGAGGTTGGAGTTATCTTCAAAAAAACTTGGCGATTTCGTTTGGGGAGCCCAAATTTGTGATCATCATCTTATTATATGCTTGATTCTCCTAGTATATTCCCATTAACTCCCATTGCCACACAGCCCGTGCCGTTGCGTGTCGTGCCTCAACACCTTTTTCCAGAGCTTCTTCGATGTGATCTTTCGGACGATGAGTCCAGGACCTTTGGGATCTTTGGGGACTGAAAGAAATCCTACACCTTTGAGGATCATCCCACGAATCGTAAGTGGTGAAAATGACCCTGGTTAGGAAGTTACATAGCTATTGAAAATGACCATTTGTAGCGTATCCGAATTAAATTATGATGGATATATCAATGGCCATGCAACAGGAACCGATTGATTGGAGGTACCGATTCCATATATTTTTGGCCTATTTTTTAGGCCTAAATTTCAGGGGATATACCCTCAAAATATGGCCTGAAAAATGGTACTAACGTACCTTCATTTTAGGATCCTGGAATTCCCATTGTCTGAGTTTTGTCATCATTAACCATCATGAACCATCATTAACCATTATTAATCATCATTAGGATCCTGGAATTCCCATTGACCATATGTCACAAAAGCTTTTGCCATAAGGATCACTTGGGGGATCATCCCACGAATCGTAAGTGGCGAAAATGACCCTGGTGATCGGAAGTTGGGTTGTCCATTTCTAAGTGGGTTATAACATGTTATAACCACACTTACAATGCGGGGCCCCCAAACATTATGTTTGCTGGTGAAAAAAGCCCCAGTAACTAGTTCGTTACTTGCGTACCATAAACCATAGTGAAATTGGAGTGATTAGTTCACCCCAACTTAGCGATTTCGTGGCCGGGGGCCTCACATTGTAGGATATATATCATATATCCATAACTCATATGAATGTTGGCTTTTCATCCACATCTATTCCCATCACCAGGTAGGGTAGAACTACTGGGATTCCGATAAAACACTGTAAATGATGGGATTTTATGGGATTTTAGACTGTTCTGTGGATCCCATCTACCGAATCTACCGGTTTTCTTTCTTCCCGTTCGGATCTGTGGATAATCTGTGGATAAACCCCCAGTCACGTCACGGTCAGAATCAACGTTTGTTTAGTGACTTGACCCATCCCCATGTGATTTTGATGTTGGATTACCCTCTGGTTATGTCAAAATAGCTATTGAAAATGACCATTTATAGTGAGTTTTCCCATTAAAAATGGTGATTTTCCATAGTTATGTTAGTTTACCAGAGGGTAAGTTGGTCAGAACTAGATGAAGTATCGGTATGGTCATGAAATATCTATGGTTAGATGGGTAAACCAACACACGTTTAACTTAAATGGGAGCACCATGGCCAATCTTAGATACCAGGCAACAAAAGTGGTGGGGTTGTGATGGTAAAGACGGATGAGCAGAAAATGTGGTGCCGCCCCAGGTACGTTTGTTGGTTTAAAACCCCATGAACTATACATATATGTATACCCTCTGGTTATTTAACATAGCCATGGAAAATGGCCCATCTATAGATGGTTTACCTATTAAAAATGGTGATTTTCCATAGCTATGTTAAATAACCAGAGGGTATATATATATCTACAACAAATCAAGGAGTATAAACCATCTTAGAGATTACAAACTGAAGGACCACCTTGTACATACAAGTGACAGTTGAACATTTGACCTGCAATGTTGTTACGGGTACTTTTCAGGACACTTAGACTTGTGGTGATTCAAACTATATACATACATGGTAATTTTGATGCTTTAAGAATGGTTGGTTGGCAACATTGCGATTTAATCATCAAGCAGCCATGAAAATTGGGATTCCAGCGTCACAACTAGAGCTTTAACCACCATTCAAACAGTGAGAAGCGGACAATTAAGGGTATAATTGACGACTATGGCCAATGTTGGATATCCTGCAAAAAACAAATAGCATGTTGTTTGAGCTTCTAAGTTTTGCACTATATTCAGTATATTCACATCAAAATAGCAAAGTGCATCAAAATACGTAAATTGTACAATCAACTACCCATCCAGTTGGTTGACTCAGATTAATATAGACAATTCTGGAACATGCTTACCGTGTATAGATGATAATATATATATATATATATTAATGATCCTAAAATTCGATCCCAATTTCAAAATTCGAAGTTTGAATGTTCCAGAAGTTTGAATGTTCCATTTTTTCGAACATGAGGCACACGATGCTACACGTTTAACAACTCAATTTCCGGCCATAAACGTGTACACCAGCAGCAAATTCAAGGCGTCCCCGTTTGAAGATGAAGTCCGCAAAACAGCAGTTGTCTTCATTGAATGGGACTTGGGACTCGTAAGCCTTACATATTCATGGCATCTCATGGCAAATCGCTTTAATTTCTGGTTGGTTCCATGCCTGAAACTGCTGGCGTCTCCACCTTCTCATGGTTGATGTGTAACCAAATTTCTGTGTGCATTCTTTGAAAACAGTCGGGTTTGTCGGTTGGTCTGAAATAAGCTACCCAATTCCATCCAGTGGTCACCTTTTTCACTCTAAAATCTGCCATAAAACTTGGTGTGAGATTTAAAAAACACCACCTTCAAACAGGTCCAAACATCATATTACCGGTTGCGGTTATATATATAATATTATCGTATATTATATTATATATATATTATATATATTATATCATATACTATATACTATATATTATATATTATATATTATATATTATATATTAAATACTAAATATTATATAATATATATTCTATATTATATATATATTATATATGATATATAATATATGATATATGATATATTATATATTATGTATTATATGCTATATAGTTTATATTATATAATAGATTACATATATATCATATCATATCATATCATATCATATCATATATTGCATCCAATTTTGGTGATTCTATAATGTTCTATAGCTATTTTCAGAGACACCCGCCACTCCATTCATCCATTCACAGCGCGGAAAGGCGTCTGGGCTGAGGTGCGGATCGCGTTTCAACCGTTCCATGCTGTGACTTCGACTTTCAATCAACCTGGGACATTCCCATAGGATCCATGGTGCTGGTATATATGCTAACATTTGGGGTATATTGATGGTAAATCTTACCATATATAGCATACATGGATCCTATGGGACATTGTGACCCAACAGATGTGGCGAGAAACCTCCACGAAACGAAGCTACGAGTTTGCGAACTGGAAAATCACCCTGACGGGGTGAAAAAAAATGGTGCGACATGGTTTTAATTTGGGCTATAGTAATTGGGTACGTATATACCTGGCAACCTCTCTGAAAAATATTAGTCAGTTGGGATTATTATTCCCAATATATGGAAAATAATATATTCCAAACCACCAACCAGATACAGTAAATTAGAGTATAGGTAAATGATCGAACCAAATGAGCCGTGTTCAATAGCTATGCGAAACTACCAGGGGGGGGTGCAAAACAAAAACGGCGATTTGGGGTGACCACCTAAAGCCATGGGGAACTCCAAGTGATAATCCGTAAGTCAGTCGTTATAACAGTAAGCGGTTTGCAACTTGGCTAGGACAAACACATTTTCACGATGTTGGTGTTCACTAATCACTCCAATTTCACTATGGTTTATGGATGTTTATGGTACGCAAATAACAAACTAGATACTGGGGCGAATCTAAAGCAACGTTCACATAACATGGCCGGGGGGCCCATATTTTCAGGATCCAAAATGTGGATCCGTTTTCAATTGTGCCATTTGGAACCCACCAAAAATGCGGGCAACATCAGGGGTTCCTAGCAAAACTCAATAGTGTGGGGTTACCCTCTGGTAAACTAACATAGCTATGGAAAATGCCCCATTTATAGATGGTTTACCTATTAAAAATGGTGAATTTCTATAGTCATGTTAGTTTACCAGAGGGTATGATCATCCTCAATATGGCCTGGACTTTAGTTTTGTTTATGGCACACATGGTCATAGCTTAATGTACGGGTTCAGACTACTGAATTTCGAGGGTCAAAGACCAATAATATGCCCCTGCAAAAAAAAAATGAGATCCCAATAATATGGTGCGAGAAACTAAACACCCATGTCTGTTACAATTGGGTGGCTTTCCAAATCTATTGTGAAACAACCTGATGTCCACTAAAGCAAGAACATGTATTTGTCTGAAAATAGAGGACCCTAAAATTTGATGAATGATCATATTCACATTTGCATGACCATTTCGGGGCATACCATCTTTCAGACAGACCACGTATCTTTTCACGACCTATGTGCATCCGATAAAATATCCCACTAGGTTACAGTTGTATTCCCTGTATATTCCCATCATTCCCATCCATTATATCATCCAATGATTGTACTTTTATATCCATTTTCAGACACTTTGCATCAATTTGCATCATATATTCCAAACTATTCCATACCCTCTGGTAATTTAACATAGCTATGGAAAGTCACCATTTTTAATATAGGTAAACCATCTATAAATGGCCATTTTCAATAGCTATGTTAGTATGTTTACCAGAGGGTAAATTCTTCTCCCCTATTCCATGATTCTTACTATCTCGCCATGATTTGCTACACTTCGCGTCAAGTTCCTCTGCTTCAAATTTTCAGCTATCAAAACGCTTCCCAAGTCGCAGTTTCCTTACCCGGGCTCCAGATTCAGGGCTGACCTTTCCACAAAGACCCATCTTTTGGGATGAAAATAGGCCAAAACAACGGTGAAATGCATCAAAAACCATTGAAAACCAACAATTCACTTTTCATTTACCTATCCATCCCTGTCTGTTCCTGTTTTCTTGCTGAAAATCATCCATTTTGCATGTGACATCCAATTGTTTGCCGGCGAAATCCACATTTACCTTGCCACATTAAAGTTTGCAATTCTGTTCATGCCTTTTTACTCCACGCCGGATGTGGAGGCCTAGTTTATCAGGACGCGGAAAGCTGGTGAACTCAAAATACCATTTCCATTGATTCAACCAGCATTTTTCCGCTGAAAAACCACGAGTTTTTTCGCATGTGGCTTTGTAAAAACCCCTTTCACCGTTTCACTTATGGTTTTTCCACACGTTATCGTTTTTTTTTCCTCAAAAATGGTGCGTTTTTTTTTTACTAATCCCTTCCCCCGAATATTAAACACCCCCTAAACGAAACCATGGTTTAGTAAGGAATTTCCACATAATTGGGACAATTTATGGGGTGGTTAATATCAAGGTGATGGGATTAATCTCCCAGACATGCTCTGTTGCCTCCAAAGGGCAACTCATCCACCACTTGGTCGATGTCCTCGTTGGTCTTCAGACTCAGCACCGGCACCTGAGGGAATAACGGCACGTTTAATCTTAATTTAAGCAAGAAAAATGGGGATTATATTTAACGGGATATCATGAAATATCATGTGGGATGATTACCATGTTTTAATGGTTTTAATGGAAGTTAAATGAATTTTCCATGGTAGTTTGGCTGATTTTATGCGGGCTAGCTAGGGATGAAAAAATGATGGGTTTCCCAGCAAGATGGCACATGGGGGATTTCCCAGCAAGCCTTGTTTGATTACCGGGCCAAACATGACGGTTTAACCAGCGCTGGAATGGGCGCTCTTCACAGCTAAGTGGCAAATGGGACCTCATCCCTTGGAAATGTGGAATGTCATCATTTTGTATGCACGAAAACATACTGTAGGAGTCACACAATGTGGGGTTACATAGTTCTACTTAGCTATGTTCAACACTACCTGGTCAATGTAGCATATTTCTGTTTATACACATGTATGCTATATATATACATATCTTCCATGCGTGACAAAACATATTCATGAACCATTCTACCATAACTAGTTGGTGGTCTCAACCTACCCCTCTGAAACATGATGGAGTGAGTTCGTCAGTTGGGATGTTATTCCGTTCCCAATATGAATGGATATATCACCCATACCCTCTGGTAAACTAACATAACTATGGAAAATATATGGAAATTCCCAATATATTGTTATTCCAATTATTAACCATTATTAACCATAGATTAACCATTATTAACCATAGATTAACCATAGATTCACCAGTAAAAAATGTTCCAAACCACCAACCAACATAAGCTGAAAAAAAATCCGGCAGGAGACTGAATCCCATCCCATCTCAACCTATTGTAGACACGCAGCTGACTGACCCAGGTGCGGTGAGTCGAGAAGTCGTACAAGCTTCAAACCATCCAAACAAAATACCCTCTGGTAAACTCCAAAAAACGATGGAAAGATCCACCATTTTTCATGGGAAAATTCACTATTATTTTCGTGAGTTTCCAGTTCGCAAACTGTCAGTTCACCAGAGAGTCTGTTGTTTTTTTCGGATAAAGTCTACTTCTGGCCTCATTTAAACAACAACTCCAATGTGTTGCTTCAGTTTTTAGGACAAGTTCAGTTCGTGACGTTTCGACGTTTCGGTTCCCGTGACCAAGGAGCGTTGTAGGAGTCAAAGAAGTAGATCCGAGGATCGTCTGCGGGCACCACAGCTGCACTGTACCTGCCGTTTTAGGCAACTATCATGGGGATTCATCCATCATATAATGGTGATTATAATGGTGATTATAGGGGATTGTTGTGATGGGGATTATATAGATGTCATATAATGAATACCAGTTAGTAAGTGGGTTATAACATGTTATAACATGTTATAACCCCAGTCATAAGTGGATTAACCCTACTTAGCCCACTAACAAAACCAGGATTATAACCTACTTACTAACCAGGATGAACCACCAAGTACCCTCTGGTTATTTCACATAGCCATGGGAAATGGCACATAGAAATAGATGGTTTACCTATTAAAAATGGTGATTTTCCATGGCAAACTGTTAGTCATAACCAGATGGTAAGTCATCACTAACAGACAGCCCCTACTGAGCCCATTGAAATCATGAGGATTATAACCTAAGTGGGATGGACCACCAAGTATAAGACATAGTTGTAATTTATATATCTGGTTGGTGGTTGACCTACCCCTCTGAAAAATGATGAAGTTCGTCAGTTGGGATGATGACAATCCCAATATTAATGGAAAAATAAAATGCATGTTCCAAATTCCAAACCACCAACCAGAATGTATATGAGTATGGTACAGTTAAAGCCGTTGTAGCCCTCAACAGTTTTAACTGGAAACACAACTCATTTCAGTGATATGTTTCACATTAGTTGCAAGAGTTATAATCATCCCTTTTATAGTATAACTGTTCAGCAACATACCCAATATTATCTAATCTTACATAATCTAACCCTTATCCAGAAACATGTTCGCACTCCAACCCGGGAATATTATTCTGTCAAGAAGGGAAGTCACTATCCCCTTTTGAAGTTGTGGTAAATGTCGCACATAGAAACAATTATCTAACAAACAAGATGTGCCCAACCCTTCCCAAGTGTTTCGTTCTTACCATGCCTGCCCCGGCATGTATCACAAAATCAGTCGTGGTCTTAGCCACCAGACCCATCTGCCCTCTTATTTCATCCACCATTCTTGTCCACTAATCTTAAGTGCAAATCACCATTTCAGTTGCTTGAGTCACTATGTTGGCTAGTTGCCCTCTGGTAAACAAATATAGCCATTGGAAATTTGTCCATTTATATTAGATTTCCCCATTAAAAATCGTGATTTTCCATAGTTATGTTAGTTTACCAAAGGGTAAGTTCCATGTTTGAGTTGGTTAAATCATTGTGTTTTCTAGTTCCCATCTCAGTTGGTTCAGAATTTTTCATGGCGAACAGTTCGAATCCTGCCCCAAAATTGCTGGCACCAATGCGTGGCCGCTCCCAAGAGAAATCCATGAGCTTGGCCGCTTTGGAGGCGCAATGAGTGGAGTGCCTCCTGGAAGAATGCTGGAGAATAATAGGATTTCATCATGGCATAACTTAGTAATCAGGAGAAAATCATGGGATAATCAGAATATAATAGTATAATAGTGGATAATGGTATAATCATGGTATAATCATGGTATAAAACCATTTGGAAAGTTAATGGGATAATCATGGTATAATAGCGGAATTGAATGGTTTATAACTCCAATTTCACCATGGTTTATGATACTTGGTGAGATACTGGTGAACTATCCGCAGATCGTAAGTAGGTTCTTTCACCCTAGTTATCTCCATGGGCTAAGTAGGCTAGTCCACTTAAGGCTGGGCCTACAACTGATAACTCTCTTACTAACTGGAACGGACCAGCATGTACGTAATTATTGTATGGTATGATTATCACCAAAGTGGGAAACCCGATCATAAACCATCCCCATAATCCTTGTAAATGGGTGGTAACCATCATCCCCAAATGGTAGGTTTATGATTGGGTTTTCTATGGTTTACCACATGATTATGATAGTGACCTAGCCCATTACTAGGGTTAAAACCCATTAACCCTATGGTAAACAAACATAGCGATTGAAAATTGCCATTTATAGTTGATTTACCACATTAATAATGGTGATTTTCCATAGTTTGTTGCATGTTTACCAGAGGGTACGATTCGCGGGTAGTTCACCACCAAGCAGTTAAGTCCACATGTTGGCATGGCCATTTGGCCCCCCGCAGCAAACTCTCCGAATCTCCGCCTTCAAACTTTCAAGGGACGATGCCAGAGTAATCTGACCTGCAGTCGGCCCAACGAAGAGTTATTTGATAGTATGAATAGTTTAATAGTTAGCATGTTTCCACAGTGATAGTTAATGATAATATGTAATAGTCTAATTAATGAAAATATATACATATATCATCATATATCTGGGCAAACTACAATAATTCACCAACCTGAAATGTTGGGCCATTTTGGGGTGAGTCCCCTCATTAACCATGATTCCAGTGAGGGAGAACAGTGAGGTCGTTATAATTTGCCCAGATAGTATTACTGGTTGGTGGTTTTAACCATCTTGAAAATGGTGAAAACCTAGTGAGGATATAGCATTTATCTAACTATTCATGGGGAAACAAAAAACAAGAAACACACTATCTGGTTGGTGGTCTTAACCATCTTGAAAAATGTTAGTCAATGAGAAGGATTATCCCACATATTATGGACAATAAAAATGTTTGAAACCACCAACCAGATTAATAATTTAATAGTTAACATATTGCCACAGTAATAGTTAGTGATAATATGTAATCGTGATAATTATATATAATTATGTGATAGTTCACTGTTACCAACTAACATATTATTTAAAAAAATGGGCTTACAATGATACTTGGTAGCTCATCCCACTTAGTAAGTGGGTTAGTTCACCCTGGTTAGTAGGCTTAATCCACTTACAACCATGAACCAACTTACTTACAATTCCAGGGATGAACCACCAAGTAACCTTAGTTGTAGGAGTTGTATGTCCATTTGCAACCCCACATGAGGCAAATGCGACCCCCATGCCCATTTTGATGTAGTTTAAGGTATACCCCTAGCATTGTTCACCCCACTGATGGGAAATGGGTGTATTCATCCCGCCATCTCTTGCAAAGCGGTCCCCCCTAGTGAAATGTTTGTTGGTTTTGTTCCACCTCTAATTGGTCCGATTAACATGTTCCATAGAGCCGACAGTGACATGTGTGTTAGTTAACCTAGGCAAATAAACCCACGAACTTAGTTACAATATCACCGGGGCAGCAGCTAATCTATCATGTTGTTGCTGATATATCCCATGATATCACCATGTCCAATGATATTCCCATGATTGTGATGGATATTCCATAGTCTATTTCATATGTTGGAGAAGTAAATCAGCATTAATCACACTGTTTAACAGGTAAATAATCTATAAATGGCAAGTTTCCCACAAATACTATATCCCATTTATATCCCGTTATAAATGATGTACCAATTAAATATGACTATATGCACATGTATTTATCTGTATTGATTGTATAAGTATTTACCTGTATTAATCCCGAGGAATCTCCCAAGTATATCCCCCCTTCTCCCATGTTTCACCACAACGCCTCGCTCCCGGCCTCGCAAATCGTCGTCCTGCTGCACCAAATGCCTGACGATTTGTCCCAAATCAGGCTGGCAGCCAAAAAATCAATGGGTGTGTTTGATATTAAGGGAATGTAATGGTAATCTACTGATTTATGCATAATCAACATCAATGCAATTGATGAGGAAACCTTATTAGATTCAGTGGGGAATGAATAAACATATTGGGTTATCAGATTGTATTCCCGTAATAAATCTATGGGAATAGAATCGAATGTGTTTGAGAGTAATCCCTTTCCCTTAAATCAACTAGTGGAATGAACCTAATAGGAAAAGAATGAGAATACGGAATACAGTGGGAATACAATGGGAATGTAATTTATGGGAAAATATTGGGAATATACTGGGAACCAAAATGGGAATAGCATGGGAATATAGTAATATAATAATATAATGGGAATATATTGGGAATACCGGAATGGTTTATAGGAGTAAAAAAAGGTAGTTGAACAGTCTACTTTGGACCCGCCATGTGCCAGGACGGATGTATGTAAATCACAGTAAATCATCGGACTGAAAGGGCGATTTTTCATGGCCATGTTAAATTTTCACAGACTACTCTGGGTAAATTAAGATATTTCACCAACCTGAATTGTTCCGCCATTTGGGGATGATTTCCCTAAAATAAACCATGATTCCAGTGAGCTCGCAGTGAGATCGTTATAATTTACCCAGATATACAAAATGGGAAATATCTCAACAACCAAATATCAAATCGTCACCATCGTGATGGCCATATAACAAACAAAATTTTCTTAAAAAGACCTGAAACCTCTCAGCAGGGCACAGCATTTTTCATTCGTTGAATCCAGTGAAATCCTGAAAAATCGTCTCCAGTGTTTTCCGGACTTTACCCAGTCAAAGTATCCCATGATACCCTCTCGTAAACTAACATAGCTATTGAAAATGGCCATAGAAATAGTCGTTTTACGCATGAAAATCCATGTGTTTTTCCGTAGTTTGTTGTATGTTTACCAGAGGTAAACTCCATTGAGCCTCCCAGCAATACATAAAGGTTTATTCAGGGCTAAATTTAAGCGCCAAGAACCACTGATAAGGGCTTATACCCTCTGGTAAACTAACATAACTATAAAAAATCACCCTGTTTAATGGGTAAATCAACTATAAATGGCAATTTTCAATAGCTACAGTATGTTAGTTTACCAGAGGGTATCCCCATATTCCCATCACATTTCCATGATATTCCCATGATATTCATATCCAAAGTTTGGTCGACGCCTCAAATGCACCTCATCTGCCACGCCACCCACCTGGGCTGGATTTGCCAGCAGAGCTTTATGTGTTACAGCTCTGGCTTTTACTACTAGACAATACAATGTGTCTATATATAATATAACCATGTATATATAAATGTAAATATATCACAAACATACAATCATAAATGTATGTAATGTAATGTAATGCAATGGTATGGTCTGGTATGTATATGTATATATGCATATCTGTTGTATCAACCCCACCTTCTCCATGAACCATCATTGGAAACCTTGAAACCAATACATAATATTTTAAATTTCTATTAGATCTCTATTAGATCTCTATTAGATCTCTATTCGATCCGAATATATCCAATCAAACTAACCATATATATATATATATATCTTTTGGCCATGTATATATAAATATAATCTTGTATAAAAAAAAGGTATATATATATATAATATAATACAGTATAATAATATATAATAATATAATATAATAAAATATAATATAATATAATATGTAAAAAAATATATAATATAATATAATATAATATATAATATAAAATATAATAGTAAATAAGATTATGTAATATAATGTAATATAATATTATGCAATATAATGAAATATAATATTATTCAATGTAATGTAATATAACACAATAAAATATAATATAATAATATAATATAATATTCTGTAATATGACTACATATAAAATAATATAATATAATATTATATAATATTATATAAAATAATACTATGTAATATAATATCATATTATGGAATATAAAATAATATATTATAATATATTATAATATAATATAATATAATATAGAATATAATATTGTGTAATATAATGTAATATAATATAATGCAATATAACAAAATAAAATATAATAGAATGTAATATAATGTAATATTATTTAATATAAAAAAATAAAATATAATATAATAAAATAACATTATGTAAAATAATATAATATTATGTAATATAATGAAATATAATATTATATAATATAATAAAATATAATATTATGTAATATAATAATATAATATAATATAATTTAATATAATACAATATAATATAATATAATACAATATAATATAATATTATGCAATATAATGTAATATAATATAATATAATATAATATTATGCAATATAATGTAATATAATATTATGTAATAAAATATAATCTAATAGAATAGAATAGAATAGAATATTATGCAATATAATGTAACATAATGTTATGCAATATAATGTAATATAATATAATGTGTATATATATATATATGTTGAAATCAAGTATCAACCCCACCTCCATCATGACATCTTCATATGTCTCCATCATCGCCCAGTGGCCACTCGACTCTTCGGCCAACTGCCACTGACTTCGCCAAACTTTGCCAAGCGCCTCGGCGTTTTGTCACGACGCGAACGGTGTGGGTGGCGCTACAAGAAATGGGCAGGTCATCTGCAAAAAACAGGGCGGATGTAAACTGTTCTTACTGTAACTGATTGGAATGAGTAACATTTGGCTTTTTTACACATATCACTGCTGTTTTTTCAAATAGGAATCCAGTGTTTTCTCCTTTGGGGGTTGCTATAGATATTCGAGCCCCAAGTGTTTATGAATCCTGATATAATCTTAAATCTATATCATGGTGAATCTCAGATACCTGCCAAAAAAAATCTAATGTTTAGCTGGCTGCTGGCTAGTACATTTTACCCAAAAATGATATTGAATAAGCAAACAAGTGTAAAACAAAAGAAACAAAACCTTCCACAACGGACATGAACAAACCCTAATATTTTTTAGAAAACAACTTCCAACTATATATGGATTTGACAACATTTGTAACGTACGTTAGACATGTGACCTTCCTCGACTGTACCTTAGGCAAGTTACCTGCAACACTTGGGATTCGCCGTATTTCACGCTGATTTGCATCTCAGTGGGTTTAAAAAGCCATAGAATCTATGAATCAACATGGAGACCTTCCACAAATGGATGATATACTACGTTTTTTTAAAAAAATACTTACATTCACTTACTATCAAATATGATGAACATATGAATTGTTAAATTCCTATAACTTCCATTGTTTTATCCAGTTTTTTCCATTTCTAGTGGTACCCCATACTTTTGGTCAACATACCTATATTCCTGGCCATCAGTTTCACCGTGTTGCTGAATATCTGCAATGACCTGTCGCCAGAAGCGTTGTTCGTCGGTCAAAGATTCCAGTTCGTTGCGCAGGAGGCAACCTCAGGGAGGCAACCTCAGGGAGGCAACCTGTGGGTTGTTAACAGTTGTTAACCACTTACTACCCTCTGGTAAACTAACGTAACATACACAAAACGATGGAAAGATTCACCAATTTTTATTGAGAAAATCAACTATTTCGACTGGGCATTTTGAACAATCGTTTACCGGAGGGTTTTTCTGGGATGATCCTCCAGGTAAAAATCATATCCACTTTAAATGTGAGGCCCCCGGCCACGATAGCTCAGTTGGTGAACATAACTCCAATTTCACGATGGTTTATGGTACGCAAATAACGAACTAGTTACTAAACCAACAAACATAAGGTTTGGGGGGCCCACATTGTATTAATGGTAGTAAAGCAATGTCACAACCGACCAATATTTTGATGGCTTATAGCACATTGTAGCACTGGTTTACTGTTGGTGATGGTGGATCCTATTGCTTTACCAACATGAAAAACCCTTATTTAGTAAAATGCAACAAAAAGGGTCAACAAGGTTGTTCTGCTCAGTGGTGTTTGTTGGTTTATAAACCCCACTAACTGGTCTGATATGTCTAACATAAACATTCATAAACCCAATAGTTCTGTTAGGTATTTCAACAAACTTAGCGATTCTGAACTGCGGTAGGACCTTGTAGTTGCCTATTATATTCCCATTGTATCCACCCCAGAAAGCACCACTTTTTGTGGTGGTTGAGCCTCCAGTTAGAACACATTGTAATATAAATATACGCGTATATATATATACATATTCATGGAACACACTGCAAATCCATATTTCTGCTGGTTGATTGATAATCAAACATGGCCATTGAACATCAACTAAAAGTTTGTATTTGAACAGGAAAATCAGCGAACTAAAGTGCGTATTTTCCATTGCCATGTCTGATTACCGGAGGGTAAACCAGACACCAACTTATACATATGGGATATAACGGGAATATAATGGGTAAAGAAAGGTGCAGCCACCAAACGATCGCTAAGTTGCTCTATTTGTCTTGGTGAACGTCTGGATTTATGCGGGATACATCGAACAAGCATTCATGACGTGAATCTAAACCAGAAAACATAAACAAAGACCCGCGGGGGCTATATATATATACATAAAGTAAGTTAGTATGTATGAATCATGATATTCCCATGAAATATTAAGGATGTATAATCCCTTCCTCCTAATACTAAACCCCCCCCCTAATACAAAACACGGCAGGTAGTTTTTAGTATTAGGGGGGTATTTATTATTAGGGAACCAAATCGAAGTCATGTTAATTAATTAATTAAATTTCCTTATATAACGCAATTAAAATATTGCCAAAAATGGCAGTTCGAAGCTTACCCCTAATACTAAATTAAAACCCTTAATACTAAAAACTATTTTTTCCGATCTCAAAATCAATTAAATTTCCTTATATAACGCAATTAAAATATTGCCAAAAATGGCAGTTCGAAGCTTACCCCTAATACTAAATTAAAACCCTTGATACTAAAAACTATTTTTTCCGATCTCAAAATCAATTAAATTTCCTTATATAACGCAATTAAAATATTGCCAAAAATGGCAGTTCGAAGCTTACCCCTAATACTAAATTAAAACCCTTAATACTAAAAACTATTTTTTCCGATCTCAAAATCAATTAAATTTCCTTATATAACGCAATTAAAATATTGCCAAAAATGGCAGTTCGAAGCTTACCCCTAATACTAAATTAAAACCCTTAATACTAAAAACTAGCCCCCCTAATACTAAACACCCCGGGATGAATTAGTTTTTAGTATTAGGGGGGAGAACCCACAAATGGTAGGTTGATTTTTGAATTGTTTTTTAAAGGGGATCAATTAAAAGTCAAATTGGCCAAACTGAAATTTTCGGAAATTGGAGATGGATGCCTGTTTTTAGTATTAGGGGGACGTTTAGTATTAGGAGGAAGGGATTATATGCACATGATCATCTTGTTTATGTATAGAGATTTATCCACTATATATTCCCTCTATATATCATGGTCAATCTTTGATCTAAAAAAGGTGGTATACCTACCCTGAAAAATGATGGAGTTCGTTAGATTGGATCATCATCCCCAACTCTTTGGGGAGTATTATTCCCAACACCTCTGAAAAATATTAGTAGCTGGGATGATGAAATTCCCAACTGAATGGAAAAATAATCCAAATGTTCCAAACCACCAACCAGTCATAGTCTACAAAAACATTGTCATCTTTTGCCGGAGGTTACTTTCAGCTTGGTTCAGCTTGGCAGCGCAGGTTGAAGAGCGCATGGTGGCCGCAAACGTCGTGGTGCCACTGTGTCAAGCACTGCAATTGGGAGATCTTGCGCTCCTGAAGTTGATGTGATTTTACGTGATTTTAGGTGATTTTACTTATTCTCATTGATTTCATGTTACCATCTGGAAATTTAACATAGCCATGGAAAATCACAATTTTAAATAGGTAAACCATCTATAAATGGGCCATTTTCCATGGCTATGTTAAATAACCAGAGGGTAGCTTTTGTGACTTGAAGGTGAAGGTGTTTGTTTTGCCTTAATGATTGAATTTTATGGGATTTTGAATGGAAAAGTATATTGGTGGCGCCTCGGTTCGGCATCGCTAAGTTGGTTGAAATAACTAGGTTGCGTGTTGGGTTTATGGTTATGAAAAGCCAACACTTCGATTAGATAGGTTGCAAAGCCCAACTTAGGGTGCCATCCACAGTAGGGTGTTCTTTATTAATGTTACCCTCTGGTTATTTTATAGTTTGCTATGGTATCGATGGACCGACTTCAGGAAAAACTGGTGAAAAAATAACAAAACATACAATGTGAGGCCCCCGTCCGATAGCTCAGTTGGTGAACATAACTCCAATTTCACGATGGTTTATGGTACTTATAACGAACTAGTTACTGGGGCGAATCTAAACCAACAAACATAACTGGGGGGGCCACATTGTAACTTAGATCTGGGCAGTCGATTTCCGTATCTATGCATGGACCTAAAGTATCATCATTCCATTGAGCTGGATCAAGAAACAATCCCACCAAAATATGTCCTATATATATCGCAAAAGGAAAAAACAACACCCCACAAAATACTTGGGACATATTATAACTCTTATAGGTATTGAAATTCATATTTAGTGAAACCGTGACATATATAACCAATTAATATAATATGTTAGCATTGACCCACTATTTGCTTCAAATTCCAACCTCCATGTCTCATCGACCCAAACCTAACCCCAACAACCTACTTAGACGTCCCACTGTCATCGGATCCCTGGTTTATGTCATCATTGTCACCCATATATAAGCAATATTTCATCTAATAAGTGGGGATATTCCTTATAAATGATATATTAAATGGTGGGTATAATAATTCATTCATATATAAGCCAGGATATAAACTTTAAAAACCATATAAATGATATATCAAATGGTGGGTAAAATCCATTTGTAAAACATGCTATACCCTTTGGTAAACGTTTATATGCATAACTGTGGAAAATCACCATTTTTAATGGGTAAATCAACTATTTCTATGGCGATTTTCAATAGCAAACTGTTAGTTTACCAGAGGGTAACTACCAAAAACTACCCAACTGTCCAACTGTGTCAGTTCTCATGGATTCAAGTCCTCGCACTGGTCAATGACGTCCGGAGGCCTTTTTTGATGTTGCGAGGCCAGGGTCCGAATCTTCTATGGGCTACTAAAATCATAGGAGAATGGAGACGATTTAATGCTGATTTAGTGGTATAAAAATATATACCCTCCGGTTATTTAACATAGCCATGGAAAATGGTCCATTTATAGATGGTTTACCTATTAAAAATGGTGATTGTCCATATCAACATTTTTCCATATCCATACAAATAAAATGCAATTGGCTTCCGGGGAACCCCCAGCCTTCACCCTATATATATATATATATTTATCAATATAGAGAAGTGTTTTTAGTGGGATATGGGGGATTTTTCATGGTATTTGGAGGACCCACTGGATCGGGGCTACTGGCTTCATCCCACTTAGATACATGGGCTAAGTCGTCTTTAAAGCTAGTGATTTCAATGGGCGGTGAAGCACAAAGCATAAAAATGTGTCCCATGATTGTTTGATGATATCGTTGAATCCATATGGGGGGATACCTACAACAATGGTGCAGGAAGGGCACCCAAAGGATAGCGAAGGTGGCTTTTTTTTGTAGATGAACTGGGGTTCAAAACGGATATAGCATATGTATTTAATATGTATGTAATATGTATGTAATATATATGTAATATGTATTTAATATGTATTTAATATGTATTCAATATGTATTTAATATGTATGGAATATCTATGTAATATGTATTTAATATGTATTGGATGTGTGTTTAATGTGTATTTAATATGTATTTAATATGTATACTATATATATATATATATCCATAGTTGAATGGGGTTATAAACCAACTTGTAACTCGGGATCCCTTCCTGAAAGTATATCAGCACAAAAAGTGGAGGATCTTATGAGGATTTCACCTACAAACATAAGTGGGAATACTTCGCGGGATATAATCAATGGCCATTTCAGGAACCTAAATTGGAGGTACCTACCGTTTATAAGGCATATATAAGGCCTATTTTTTAGGCCTATGTAAGGGAATATCCCTAGAAAATATGCCCTTAAAAGGTACAGTACCTCCATTTTAGGATCCTGAAATTCCCATTGATATATATATATATAATGATATTAAATGTATTATAGTACATATTTACATAGCCAACAGCATGGTAGTTGGTAATCGCGTGGATCTGAAGTCTGGGTAATACCTCGGAACATCATGCGATTTGAAAATTTCGAACATATGAGTAACCATTTAATTTATTGATACTTCAGAACTTGAATACATCAACATATCTCATGCATTCTCATACCATTTCCTATTTGTTCACCTAAATTAAACATCACACCTCATCATACATCGAAAATGCCTGCGAATCAGGTGCCACGTGTTGTTTGCACTGCAAAAAACCTCATTTGTGTATATTTATGCTTGTTAAATCCTCATTGCTGACTAAGCGAACCCCCATATTTGCGCAGTGTTCGAAAAGCCTATGTCGTCCCTTCTGACCGCTTGATAAATAGGAGAAAATAGAAGCGTTTCTCGGCTCATGGATTGTGATATGTTGTGATAATCGCCAATGTATTGAATAGCACAAGCCAAGTACAATCAGCAATCAACGGTTATACATTTTATCACAAACAAACTACGTTCAAATTCTACATCAGAAACTTGGTAAGCCCATATATAAAAAAAAAAACGATAACCCAGGTATCCTCTGGGAATTTCACTGTTTAGTAGGTAAATCATCTATACATTGGTCTATTTAAATATATATAGCTATGTTAAATTACCAGAGGGTAAATCCCCTATCCTCTGGTAAACTAACATAACTATAGAAAATCACCATTTTCAATAGCTATGTAACAAATTACCAGAGGGTATCCCCATATTCCCATCATATTTCCATGATATTCCCATGATATTAACCATTGGGTCACTTAGATCCAGTTTTCATCCAAAAAAAAACAATATATCCCCAATACATTACCAAATGGTAAATCCCCTATCTGTTCATAAACAGTCCATTATATCCTCATGATACCCCCATGGCATCTTTTATCCCCATGATATCACCCATGGATATCTTCGTGATACCCACATGGCAGCCAGATACCCTCTGGTAATTTGTTGCAAAAAACTGTTAGGGTATCTGGCTATGAAAAATATGACCATAAACTATGAAAAATGATAGGGATTTACCTGGTAAACTAACAGTTTGCTATTGAAAATGACCATAGATATAGTGGATTTACCCATTGAACATGGTAGATCTTTCCATAGTTATGTCAGTTTACCAGAGGGTAACCCATAGTAAAAGAACCTAGCTGATCAACTCCTTCAAACCACGCTACGTTGTGGGTGCATGTAGCTCTTGAGGCGACAATGGAGCAGGCGCATCCTTGACAGACTTTGAAACTGGAAACAGCTATACGTTGAAAATCGAAATATGGACCTAAACCAGCACAAATAGCCAAGTTAGTTTATATCTAGGCTAACAGGGTTTATAGGCCCACAAACATAACTGGGGAATTATGATTAAATTGCAAAAAGTTTCATTTAAAGGACTATAATGAAACGTGACACTTTAATCTTGAAATGGAGAATACGAATATTGTAAACCTGATTCAGAAGTGAACATGTAATTTTGCCATCCATTTCATGGTGCTATCCACACTTGTGAACTAGATGAACCATCATATTATGCAGTTTTCCATCCAAAAATCGAAGCTTATCATTCGATGGGGATAAAACAATGTGATCGTAGGGGTCAATGCGTTCACCCCAGCGTGTTGGGTTAACCGTTAACCCCCGTTTCACCAACAGGAAAGGCCCCTGAAGAGCGAAGTTGGTGTATTTGTCTAGGTTACCCTCTGGTAAACATACAATAAACTATGGCAAATCTTAATTGTTATCGGTAATTCCATTTAAAAATTGTCCATTTTCCATAGCTACCTTAGTGTACTGGAGGGTAAATGTTGGGTTTATGGTGATGAAACAAGTAAAACTTATATAGATATATTATGCTGTAGATATCTGTAGATGGGGTGGAACTAAACAACCTAAACAGCCCAACATAACTACAGGGTGGTATGGCCCCCCACTTCTAAGTTGGTTTATAAACCCCATTGCCTATAAAAAGATCCATTCAACTGTCTCCAGCATGCATCCAACAGCCTACTTGTAAACCACCTAAAACCTTCTTGGAGTCGCCTGTTTGCGGTCTCCAAGTTACCATGATGATGATGATGATGATGATGATGATGATGATGATGGTCATGGTGGTATCACACCCCGGTTGATGCGAGATTAAAAACCACTCCGGATGGTTAACACTTCCAGTAACTGTCCCCAACTTGATTGATTTTTACAGTAAGTGTTACGAGTCATGTAGAGGGGATAAGGATCACTGAGTAGACATGATTAGCATTCCCTGTAACTATCTCATACATACGAGTATAGGGGTTTCCTAAACTAGGAGTAAAGGTACCCCAAAATCATCCAAGTTTTGGATGACCATGACTTATTATTGAAACAACGATAGTGACGACTGTGGATTCCGAATTTTGGGAAACTTCCGCACCTCAAATTGTCATGGAACTCAACATAAAAATCATCTGCGAGTGGCACCTTTCGGGTCACCTTACCATTATAGAAGGAACTGACAATCGACCAAAGTGGCACTTGGGAAGCTGGGTATCTGACCAAAGATGTGCTACTGATGGGTTTGTTTACCGATCAACTCATGAAAATCTACTGCACCCAACCGATTTTGATATCTCGGATTCAAAAAATTGTTCTATTCAAAAAATATTGAAACAAACCTACACCGTTTCTCAAGAACAATGGACTTTGCTTATCGTCCACGCACCTTTAGCCAGTTTTGATGTTTATTCCTATACCGCCAAAACTATTGGTGCCAAGACTCATTGGTTGACCCCAAAAACCTGCATATCCTCTCCAAAACATTGCCAGCGGCCAGTCTTAGATGTCTTAGATACTCTGCCCCAAAAATGGTTAGATATGGTTAGTTAAATTACCCTCTGGTAAACTAACATGACTTTGGAAAATCACCATTTTTAATGGGAAAACTCACTATAAATGGCCATTTTCAATAGCTTTTTGTATGTTTACCAGAGGGTAGTTAAATTATACTCCCCACCAATAAAAAACGTGGCATTTGAACATCCGATCCACCATTTTTTTCGGAGATAATTTATCCATTTTTCTGGATATATGCTGGTTTATTTATGTATTTATTTATTTATTTATTTCTGGAGATACCGGTATTTTATAGATCCATTTAGGGCTTCATTTATAGCGGATTTCCCGATTTCCACCCGTCTCCAACCACTCGGCAAGGCACTACATTGAAACCTGGCCACCGCCAACGGGGGCTGCAATCAGCGGCATGAATGGTCCAAGGCCGCCAGTTGTGTTGGTTTCACTTTACCCCATGAATACTATAGATGAACACTACTAATAAGATGTTATAAGAAATGCTATAAGACACCATGTTATACTTCACCCCATGTTATAAGATGTTATAAGAACTAATATTCACTGTAAGATCTTATAACGTCTTCACCTCAATAATCTATTATAAGATGTGGCAAAAGTATCATAAATCATCATAAATCATCTATTTATTGGTTTTGTCAGTGGATTCTATCTTGAATTCAAAAACTGCAACTCATTCAATCTAACTTCAACAACTCTAATGGTCTTCACCGTGCTGCTTATTTTTTTTTGTCCATCCCAGGGATCCCAGGGATCCCAGGAATCCCAAGCGCCTCCTGCCCTGGGCACATCGTTGAGTTGATTTCTCTGAGAGTAATCCCAGGGCGGATCCCCGGCCCGTTGGATCCCCATCTTTCTGGGTAAATGATCATATTATGGGGCACCACCCTGTAGTGATACATGAGCATATCATTGATATCCAAATGATTGTCATACTAGTTGTTATATTATCAATGGGAGATCTCCAGGATCCAACAGATGGAGGTACGTAAACGTACCATATTTGGGGCCATATTTTGGGGGTATATCCCCTGAAATTTAGCCTTTACATAGGACTTATATATGGTAGGTACCTCCAATTTGGGTTCCTGGAATTGCCATTGAAATATTTCACTAACCTGAAATGTTGGGCCATTTGAGGATGATTTCCCTAAAATAAACCATGATTCCAGGGCTCGGGAGAACAGGGTTCGGTCGTGATGAAATCTACCCAGATCTTTGTTGTTGGGTGAAAACGAAGATACCCTCTGGTAAACGTTTACATAAAACGATGGAAAAAATCACCATGTTCTAGCTGGGTAAATCCACTATTTCGACTGGGTCATTTTCAATAGCTATGAAACAAATTACCAGAGGGTATCTTCTTAGTAATTCAACATAGCTAATCTTCACAGGGAAATCACATGAATTCATGGCCTATGTGAAACAACCCTGTTGGGCACCAACTTTGGTGGTGCCCAACTGTTATCTTCGTCGGGTCGCAAAATACCTACCATAAATCCCACAGTTTTCCCAATAAAACCAACTGAGCCATCAAAAGTATCACGTGTATAATACTTACATTTATATAGAATAATATGTATATATAAGATTATATAAGAATCCTTGTTTTTAACGTGTAGAACCACAGTTTTCGTTTGCAAAATCACCATTTTGGATGGCGTTGACCCTCTGTCCTCAAGCGCAACGGCCTGCCAGAGCGCATGATGCCGTGAGCAACTCCGCCAGCTGCTGGCTGGAGACGCTCGAGGGAACCTGCGCGGAGTTTTTTGCGGGGTGGGAATGGGTGGGAAATCCCCAACAGTGCCCGTCCTCAATGGGTCCTGGGTCCCAGAGATCCCTGGGGATTTTTTTCTTCCAATCCCCAGCCTGAATCTCCAATCCTTGCTGATGGAACTCGCCGTCCTTCCTGCGGAGGAAAGGCCACTCTGAGTTTAGCGAAGACCTATGGCCTGGTTCAAAGATCAAACTTTCGAAATCAGAATTGCCTAGCTTTACTGTACAAAAAAATTAAGGCCCAAAACTTATAACTTTCATGTTCACAGAAACAATGTCAAATTTGGCAGGGGACTTGGCCGACACATTCAGCTGAACAATTCTGGAGTCGCTTGCCTCAAGGGGATGTGCTGTTTTTGTTCATCAAAAAAGGATAAAAAAGGGGTTTCATGGTTGCGGTTTTCTTTCGTACACTGGAAAAATGTGCACAAAAAAGGCCTTCCAATACAGAAGAAAATCCTGGGGTTCTTCCTTTAACCCATTTTGTTGAGGGGCGTGACCAAACAAGTAAGCTTGCTGAGATGGTTGGTCCGTACGAGTTTTTTGCATGTAACTATCATGTAACTATAGCTTGGATTGTATGTAACCACTTTTTTTGGCATGTGTGTATATAATTAAACACTATTTCAACATATGTCAACATAAGTCATGTCTTGGTATCTACCCTCTGGTAAACTAACAGTTTGCTATTGAAAATGGCCCAGTCGAAATAGTGAGTTTTCCCATTAAAAATGGTGGATCTTTCCAATATTTTCCATAGCTATGTTAGTTTACCAGAGGGTAATCTAAGGCTATCTCCCATACTTTTTGGGGATCATTGGAATCTCGGTCTCTGGCAGATCCTCCAAGAAGCCGATGGGCTCTCCTGTGCGGAGCTCCCCCGGGTGGACTTTAGTCACCGGACGAGAAAAACGCCCCTTAAATGATGAACACGATGATCTATGTTTATTAGGGAGTATTTTGTATTAGAGCCCCCCTAATATTCCAATGAAAACCTTAATAATAAGAAAAATAAAAACTCGATTTCAAATTTGACTAAATTTCTTATAAATATTGCCAAAAACTGGATTTCGAAGCTTTCCCCTAATATTGCAATGAAAACCTTAATAATAAAAATAACAAAATAAAACTTGGGAGATGGGACCCTAATAAAAAAACCTCCAGGTGCCAATCTATTTTATTAATAGGGGTTGAACCCATTGTTTCACCACCTGTTTCTCCTATTGATTCTCAATTACCACAATTAACAAACATTAACAATCCAATTGTGCCCAACCAAAAAAAAAACGGAAGTGCCAAACCAATCCTTTTTTTTTAATTTGGGGAGTTTTAGTAATAGGAAGAAGATTATATATACGTAATATATAATTACAAATATATGTTACAACTGGCTTCTGGAAACCTCCATAACAAATAGTGGAACACAAACATTCTAGCTCTCAAACAGCTGGGAAAATGTGAAACGGAAGGATGCTCCATGCAAGGAAATTGACAGAAAAATGTTGCTCACTGAGGCTCTAAGAAATCCATGGACTTTGAACATGACATGACACGATAGAATTTCATTTCGGGCATGGGTCAATATTATCATTATCGTGTAACTTACCCAATAACTATGGTTTATGGTACTTATTAAATGTGGATTTACCCATTAATAGCATGGTGATGTTCCATAGTTATGTAAACGTTTACCAGAGGGTATTGGGAATAATATAACTCCTGGTTGGTGATTTTAACCATCTTGGAAAATATTAGTCAATGGGAAGGATGACATCCCATATATTATGGAAAATAAATTTCATGTTTGAAACCACCAACCAGTTATTGAGCTTCAAAACAATGGACCTACTTTGATGCTTAAATCCAAGAATTTCACAACCAATCAACGGTTGGCTATTGAAAAGCCTGTAATCCTCATGTTCCATGTTTTTTATCCAGAGAATCCCTGTACAACCAGAGATACAAGGTGGTGCCCGGTTTCAAATCCATCGGTGACTATTGATATATCACGATATATCATGATATATCTACCATAAACCCAAGTCAACCCAGTTGTAAACCAAACTGAGCTATCATAAATTCATCATAAACATCAATGCTTAGTAGTAAAACAACCATTTTTCTTGGTGGTAACAAATTGGCAAAGAGTTCGTGACTTCCGGCTCACGGCAGGAACTCCCGGCACTCCTTGCAGTTCAGCTGCAACTGCACATGGCTAGGTGGCCAGCTGGATTCCTGGAGAAGGCGAGGATTGCACAAGGAAAGATCATCTGGTTGGTGGTTTCATCCCCTCTGAAAAATATGAAAGTCAGTTGGGATGATGACATTCCCAACTGAATGGAAAGTCATAATCCATTCATGTTCCAAACCACCAACCAGTCATGTATATTGCAATTATGGCCCTTTACCAGATTATAAATGGTGATTTTCCATATAGTTTTATATTATAAAAAATATAAATAAATAAAAAACATATATAAGTTCCATATGATTTTCCATATGTTTTTTTTTCCATCTGAAAAAAACATGGGTTTCCCAATTATAATCACCAATGTTTCTGTAAAAACCAGTTAGGCTTCCGAGCTGGGAGAATCATGAAACCAAGCACCCCGCCGGGTGCGAAGCACCGGTTGAATCCAGTCAAGTCAGATAGGCGAGCGGCGATTCAGTGGGTGAACGTTTACCCTAACTGCTTGAACCAACCCCAACTGGCAAACGGGCTACCATAACTATGGAAAGATCCACCTTTTCTTTATGGGTAATTCAACTATAAATTGCAATTTTCAATAGCAAACTGTTAATTTACCAGAGGGCATGGGATAGCGTTAACATGCAATGCTGTTATGGTAGAAAGATACCACCATGCTAGGAGCTAAATTGGAGCTAGGATAACACAAATATTTTTACAAACCAACATGCTGATTTAACCAAGGAACAGTAGTTGAAATAGGTACTTCAATATATATATATATATATAATTACATGGGTATTTGAGAACTACAGACTAAATATTCATAAATCCTAGCATTGGGTTAGTTCACACTGACCCAGATACAACGTGTTCAAACAAATGCATGTTTATTTTTATTGTCGAAAGATGTTGTAGTCATTTATAGTCCATGTGATATCCCTAATAAGTCTCAATATGTCCAATGTTCTGTTGGCCCTTATATATTATTTAAATATGGGGATATATCTGTTAAGTGCCAACAGGAAAATCATAAATTAAATTAATTAAGTATGGTATAAAAATATTACCACTTTATTATCACCAGATATGTATATAAATAATAAATTCTCATACCCTCCTCAGTAATCAAATCTGACAATGGAAAATCCCTGTTTGGCTGGGGATTTCCCAGCTTGCCATGTCTGATAAATTCCCTAGTCATATGAAACAATCAATCCCATAGAAAATCACATTAAAATCCCATTAAAATCCCATAGAAAAATCCCATGAACATTCCCATTCAGATCCGAATAAATCTCAATGGATTGGTTAACTTACCATCAAATATAATTAGGGCTTTCCTGTAAATTTTCCCATCATCCAATTCTATGAAAATCACAATAAATCACATGAAAATTCCCATTGAATCCCTATTTGCTAATGGTTATATAAACCCCCGATAAAGAACCGCAGCAAACTTCGCACACCGATCTTCCGTGCAGTAACCCGTGCCTGGCAAATCTTGGCACTCACCGAAGCAACGAAGTTGCCACCCAAGGGCACCTGCGGAGATTTCTTCTGATTTTTTCATGGAGATGCAGTGGGTTCCCCATGAAAAACATGATCTAATCCCAACTCATAAGAACTCCAGAAGTAACCAACTATGACTCCATGCAATATAAATACCGAATACCACTGGATAGCCATTCTGTTGATATGGCCATGGCTATTAGTTAAAAGTGGTAACTTCAATGGGATTAAGGCCCTAAACCATACATGGGCTTTTGTTAGTACTTATAACTTATAACTGATATTTCGGGCCATAACTGTGATGCAGTTGGGGCTGTTTTTGTTATGGTAACAACTCCAGAAGTTGGAATACCCTCTTGTATTTGGTTATATACATAGCTATTGAAAATGGCCATTTAGTTCGTTGATTTACCCACTAAACATTGTGATTTTCTACAGCTATGTTAGGTTACCAGAGGGTACAACATAACTGGTTGGTGGCTTCAACTCCTCTGAAAAAAATTTGAAAGTCAATGGGAAGGATTATCCCATATATTATGGAAAATAAAAGCCATGTTTGAAACCACCAACCAGTTATAAGTGGTTATCCCAGTTATAAGTGGATTAACCCTACTTATCCCATTGAAATCACTAGGGTTATACCCTACTTATCCCAATGGGAAAGTCGGACATCTATGAACCAGAGGGTACAACATGCTATAAACCCAACTTACTACCAGATCACCATCATATTCCTGTTGTTGGTTTATAGCCTATTACCCTCTGGTAAATTAACATAGACCCTGGCATATAGGGGTTGGAAGACTAGTTTCCATTGAAAATAGGTGATTTTCAGGGTCTATGTTAATTTACCAGAGGGTAAGCACATGTAAGCACTATTAACCATCACTACAAAAACCAATGGGAAAGTCGGACTAATCCCAACTGAGTTCTTTCTCCGCCGAGTTCACACTGAGTCACACTGAGTCACACGTGGCACTTCCGCAGCCAGCCCCGTGGTGTTTTTCAATAACACCTGTTGATCTCATGATATTTTGGCAACTTTTATGTGTTCCAATGTACCATGAATATTCATGGAAAATTGTGAAATGGATTATTCAAACTTGACTTAAATTTGAGCTTAACAATACCAAACAATTCACATTTACGTTCTGTTTGTATAAATGTGTAATGTTTGTTCATAATTGTTTTGCATTTTTGTTCCGCACACTGCGTGAAAATAAAGTAAAATCATTGGAATTGTCAACCAGAATTGTGGCATCATCCCAGTTGAACAATCCCAAAGTTCAGACGTCATGTGTTTTTGGAGTGGGGACATGATGATTTTATGATGATTTTGTATGGAATTGAACACATGGGGGTTAATATGGAAATCGCCATGTATATATGTTTGGGTGATTATTGTGGTTTGTTTGATCTTATACATAAATTCTAAAGATATATAAAATCGCAATATATATGACACGACATTGTTATTGTATATTGGGATGTCGTGTCGTGTCGATTTTCCTGACCCCTTGTCTTTGGGATTTAGATATCAGAAGTGGCGGCTACTCGAAAAATCATCCCACTTACAGCAACTGCTTAGTACAATGTGGGGCCCCCGTTCGATAGCTAAGTTGGGGTTCACATAACTGCAATCACTAGGGGTTATGGTTGTTATAACTATCGTGAGATGGGATTATAAACCAACTTATCACGTTAGGGGGCCCACATTGTAAGTGTGGTTATAACCCACTTATAAATGGAAAACCCAGGCAATTAGGGGACTTACTCACCAGGGTCATTTTCACCACTTACCAGGTGGGATATGGTGGGATGATCCTCCAAGTGATCCTATGTCAAGAGCATGGGGAGAACGATCAAACATGGGATCTGGCGGCATGCCCGAACGAGATGGGGATACCCTCTGGTAAAAAATGGTGATTTATTGCTGTTTAATGGGACTTTATAGTGATTTAATGGATTATGAATGGGATATACCCTCTGGTAAACTAACACTTTGCGAACTGGAAAATGGCCCAGTCGAAATATTGAGTTTTCCCAATAAAAATAGTGATTTTATACGATCCTTATCTGGTTGGTGGTTTCAACCCCTCTGAAAAATATGAAAGTCAGTTGGGATGATGAAATTCCCAATATATGAAAAAATAATCCAAATGTTCCAAACCACCAACCAGTCTTTGTTATCTTTGGATGCCATACAATTGAACAAAGCCCTTCTAGTAATCTAATTTGGCACACCTGTCGTCGGTATTAGCTTAGCAATTTTTTCCCAGTGCCCAACGAAGTTCCCGAAACGGTTTCACGAAATTTTACCAGGTAAATACCCTCTGGTAATTTAACATTAGCTATTGAAAATCCCCCATTGATAGTTGATCTACCTATTAAAAGTGGTGATTTTCCATAGCTATGTAAAATCACCATCTTTAAAAGCTAAATCAACTATCTATCAGCTTCAATGCCAATTTTGAATAGTTATATATGTATGTTTACCAGGTAAATAAGCAAATAATATCCATAAATATGGTTTACATCTTCAAAGCTATGTATTTCACCATTTTCACATAGGTAAATACCCGGTAAATTCACATAGCTATTGAAAATCACAATGTTTAATAGCCAAATCAACTATAAATAACAGTAAATAACTATATATGGTCCATGTTCCATAGTTTTTTGTACGTTTACCAGCTAAATCCCTGGTAAACTGCCCCATCTTATCTTTCTTACCATTGCTGCCATGCCCGTTTTTCCCCGACGCACCTCCCAGCGAATCCGCAGCGGGGCGTGCAGGGCACGCCACAGCTCCTGTTCCAAGATATCCCAAGATATAAATCATTTAATAACGAAATAATATGGTAAATACATGTAAATATATAAATTATAAATATCTAAATACATATATACATCATATATATATATACATTATTAATATACGGTAACTACATTTAAATATACGGACTTTTAAATATACGCACAGGTATTTTAGACTACCTCAGGGAAGGTTTTCCTTGGCCCGCCCGGCCATTTAAACATACGGAATCCAATTCATTTGAACATACGGTAATTACATTTAAATATACGAACTGGTATTTCATACTACCTCCGGGGCCTCGCGGTCTGGCCCGCCCTCCACATATTTAAATGTCGTTACCATAAATATACATATGGAAAGAAATGATACATATATACATATACAGTATATTATTTGTATTTATACAGGATGTTGCTCAGCATGGCATATTGAATTACACTGGCCACTTATGAACCAGAATGGCTATGCGTCCCAGCAATTCTAGGACATGAACCACCAGCTCGCGACATTTATCAGTGCACATATTATTATAAATTGGCATTTTTGAAACTTTACGAAAATGAATATTTTGGGTGATAAAAGCATAAATTTCAATTAACCAATGGATTTGGAAATCAAAGAAATCAAATTCAAGTAGGTTTTCGACCAACAAAACATGAAGAAATCTGGATCGAAAGGGTGGTGAAACACATCTCCTGGGTTTTTCTCATCCAACAAAAAAAACAAGTGTATGTCATTACTTCGATCCAGTCAACCATTGATCGACACATAAAAAAAGACTTTCAGTCAATACTTGGTGGTTCATCCCAGTCAGTAAGTGGGTTATAACTTTATAACCCCAGTTATAAGTGGATTAACCCTACTTATCACATTTATAGCCGGATGAGTCACCAAGTAGGGGATCTGCGAGCACCAGCTTACATACATTTGGGGACGGGATGATTCAAAATAAATCACAAGTTCATCAGTTGGTTCTACCATGTTCTTTAGCAAACAACATAAAACAGCATATATCAGCAGTGTTTGTATAGTTTGAACTTAACAAATAAATGCAGATGGCACAAATCTGGATCATTGTAAACAAATCACTAACGTGAAATAAGCCACTTTGGCATGATTTCCCTTACAAGTGTCACCATTCCAGTGACTTCACGGCGCGAGGTCGCAACAAAAAACATGTAAATTACCCTCTGGTAAACTAACTTAACTATGGAAAATCACCATTTTGAATGGGTAAATCTTCTATAAATGGCAATTTTCAATAGCTATGTTAGTTTACCAGAGGGTATATCCCATGATACCCCCTTTGAACCAGCTAGTAGAACCCCAATATAACCCCATTAGAACCATGGTTATCCCACAAGAGCTAAATAGAACATAATAAGATATAACAACCTGGTTATTTAACATAGCCATGGAAAATCACCATGCTATTAATAGGTAAACCATCTATTTCTATGGGCCATCTATACCATGGCTATGTTAGTCATAACCAGAGGGTAACAACCTGGTTTACCATGGTTTATCACATGATCTCCCGTGAATTTACGGATGATTCCCTTCCCAACAAAAGACACCCACCAAAAAAACCCTGCAGACTCACCCGGACCGAGTTAAGCGAGGGTGTTTCATTCAAAATTACCCGGCCTGGTAAACTGTCACAAAAAACTATGGAAAATCACCATTCTTAGTGGCAAAACTCACTATAAATGGCAATTTTCAATAGTTCTGTTAAATTACCAGAGGGTATGATTGGTGGGACATGGATTATTCCATTCTACGCCATGAAGGAAGTCTACCTTCCAGATCTTCCAGTTTTTGAAGAACCGTGGCAATGGAAATTACCATTAATTACCACTAATTATCAGTAATCACCATTAATGGCAATGGAAAGTCCTTCATTTAGAGTTGACTTTCTTATGAAATATGATGAAAAATCATCCATAAAAATGGGGAATTTTTAAGTGGTTCGCCACGTTTGTAAATTTAGGGTAACTCCGATTTAATCCATCAATATCCCTATGATTCCATATACCATCCCTATAGATCCCAGTCCCATCAACACCTTATTTTTTTCAAGGTTAAACCTCAATTTCGCCATGGCAATGACTGGTTGGTGGTATACCTACCTACCCCTCTGAAAAATATGAGTCAGTTGGGATGATGACATTCCCAACTGAATGGAAAAAAAAGTGTTCCAAACCACCAACCAGCATGGCAATGATGACACTGGAGGCCAATTTCAACAAGAACCCATCACTGGTTGGTGGTGCAATAACCATCTTGAAAAATATGAGTTCGTCAATGGGAAGGATGACATCCCATATATGAAATGGAGAAATAAAATTCATGTTCCAAACCACCAACCAGTTGTGATATACCATTTATAATTTATAATGGTGATTTTTCTGAATCCCTATTAAATCCCATCAAATCCCATTAAAGGTTCTTTAAAACCACCAAGCAGTGATTACTTACCATTATTAACCATGATTAACCATCATTAACCATCATTACCCCATACTAAACCAATGTTTGAAACCACCAACCAGATCACCATCATATTCCTGTTGTTGGTTTATAACCTATTAACCACTATTAACCATCACTACAAAAACCAATGGGAAAGTCAGACATCTATGAACCAGAGGGTACAACTCTTCACGTCGAGTCCCCGAGTCCCTCCCGTCCCTCCCCATCCTCGGCAGCGTTGGGCACGGACCACGCGGAGGACGCCGTGCTCCGTGTGCCGTCTCCGTGCAGCTCTGGGACCACGCTGCAGAGCGCCATGGCACGGCCACGGAGACACGGCGTTTTTCAGGGAAAGCTGCCACAAAAAGCCCTGTTTTTTGATGGTTACTATTAGTCGTTAATATACTGTTAAGAATGGTTAATATTAATGGTTATTATATGGTATTAATATTAATAGTAATTAATATGTGGTTAATATACTATTAATATACGGTAGGTCAATGATTGTTAATAATATTCTGGTTGGTCTGGTTGGTTAATGATGGTTAATATTAATGGTTATTATTAATATTAACCATATATGGTTAATATTAATGGATATTGTATGGTTAATGATGGTTAATAATGATCTGGTTGGTGGTTTCAACCTACCCCTCTGAAAAATGATGGAGTTCGTCAGTTGGGATGATGACATTCCCAACTGAATGGAAAAATTAAAAAAAGTTCCAAACCACCAACCAGTGATGTTTGGCTTCAAACTGGGGATGTAAAAACCATTGAAAAAACCCTTGAGTGGCAATTGTTCGACAGTTTTCTGTTGCTTTATAATCGCAAAAATCTGTGGCATCCTGCAGAAAAAAAATGAGTCGTCATTTGTGAACCTGGACACACTAAGAAGCCAGCTACCAAGCAAATGTTGGATCCAAGTGATTTCCACTGGGCAAATGGTTGTGCCGCTCGTTTCAGTCGCATCTGTGTCGACAAGGACAGATTTGCAAGCACAACACCGTTTCCTTGCTTACAAAGCCGGTTTTTTCATGATGCCGAACATGGTGATAACCATTTTTGTCCTGTCCTCGTTTTGTTTGGTGATCCTTCCTTCTGAAATTTCATGTCTTCAACTTTTTGAGAAGACTGGAAGATGCTAGTGGCATGGCGATTTCGGTCACTGGTTTGGTCATTCTTATTGCTTCCATGTCTTCCATGTTAATTGGGTTGGACTCAACACCTTGGGTATCGAAATAAACATAAGGACTTATATGTTATAATGCACAAATCAAGTAGAATATTTCATGGTTTATAACATTTTATAACCGCGTCTAACTATACGATCTATCCAAAATCAGCCCAACAGTGAAGCCAGTAACCAACTTGCCTATCCTGGAGGACCCACATGGCACACATGCCCTTACTCTTCTCCATTCTTTCAGAACCCCTGGGTGATCATTACAGAGATCCTGCTGATATATTATATATACAGACAGACTACCCTCTGGTAAACTAACAGTTTGCTATTGAAAATGGCCATAGAAATAGTGAGTTTTCCCATTAAAAATGGTGATTTTATACGATCTTATCTGGTTGGTGGCTGACCTACCCCTCTGAAAAATATGAGTTCGTCAGTTGGGATGATGACATTCCCAACTGAATGAAATCATAATCCACATGTTCCAGTCACCACCAACCAGATTGGGACTCATCATATTCCATTAATTGGGACATCGTATTGCAGTTGGGTTCTATTTTTTGCTACAATCCCTCTTAGATAATCATCCCCAGAAACCCAACAGTCATGAGAATTCCAGTTCGGGGAAAATACCCTCACTGGATCATGGTGGGTCAATGTTGCTTACCCGGCCTGGTAAACATACAAAAAGCTATTGAAAATGGCCATTTCTAGTTAATTAACCCATTAAGAATGGTGATTTTCCATAGTTATGTTAGTTTACCAGAGGGTAGTTGATTTCGTACTAGGAAGCCCCTTCTCAACCAACCACGACACTCGTAGCAAGGCATGCCTTGTCGGAAATGCTTGCAAGGGCCACCTAAGAGTTGGAGTTTTAGCAAATGGAGCCATGAAAGCCTCTGCCGAATTTTTTTTCCATCCGTAAATTTCCATCCCGTGAAATATAGTAATAATGGTTAGTGAGTAAAATAAGAAAATGATGGTTGGTTAGTACTATATAATAATAATAAAATATACTTATCCCGGATAGCCCTTCGAATGGTATATCCAATACGCTCCATGTATAACATTATTTACCTACATACCTGGTTATGTATGGGGTAAATGTTGGTAAATATTCCAGCACCATGGAGCCTATGGGTATTGGTTGGGTAGGAATATTCCTATGTAGTAGTGTAATCCCCAAGACATCAATTAGCAAAAACTACCTATACAGCCTATACATCTCAACCCATCAACAGTGATACCCTCTGGTAAACATACAAAAAGCTATTGAAAATGGCCATTGATAGTTGATTTACCCATTAAAAATGGTGATTTTCCATAGTTTTCTGTATGTTTACCAAAGGGTAATATGAAAAATAAGAGTAATAACACAACAGGGGACAAACATCCAGCGATCAGGTTCGGGATGGATACACAGTTGTTTTTAAATACTGTCCTGACTGTCCTTATTTATGAATGTATATCATGTATGTATTATCATCATACCTCTATCACCATATAAACATGCTTGATATATATATATACACATGTATCTTGCATACTGTGTAAAAGTCAATAACACAGCATGTGCATCTTTAATTCTTAAATACATTAAATATGGAATACGTTCGGATATGACCATGTTCGGAACTCCACCAATCCGGGTAAGGAAGTGGGGCATCCAATTTGGCAGACCAGGTTTCTGTGGCTCTCCCTGCCATGCAACAGTGAGGGTGGTAACATTTGGTTTCCAAGAGGCGGTGATATCATTTTCCCTGTGAATACATCACCATTCCCGCCTAAAAAAAAGCAGTTTACATCAAACTAGTTACTGTTTTTTTTTTGACCAACAAACATCATGTTTAGGGCCCCACATCCCTATCACCCAGCAGATTTCTTCATCAACTTCTTGGATGCGGATTTTTCGTCGACATCTTTCCGGATTTTTTGGATAAGGGGCGGCTGATACCTTGTGGATAAGCCACAAAAAGGAACTACTCTACAGAATCGACAGAATACATATATATATATATAGATATATAGATATACTGTAGTATTTGTTGATATTACTTAATACTACTTAAGATTCTATGCCATATGTATAGTTGCAATAATTTTCAAGAAAGACAAGATGTAACATCTGCGGAATATGATATCTATACATGTGGTTCAACCAATGCCATGAACCTACCAAACTTGGGAACGGTCATGAACCAACCAAAAAAAATGCCGTGTTTTTTTTGGATGGTTCATTATTGGGCTTTACCAGACTACATGGATTACATATATCTGGGTAAATTATAATATTTCACTAACCTGAACTAAGGCCATTTGGGGATGATTCCCCTTACTAACCATGATTCCAGTGAGGTCGCAGTGAGGTCGTTATAATTTACCCAGATATATGTGTATACACTAAACTCACTAAACATTGCTCCGCAATCCACTTCCGTTCACCAAGCTGTTTCCCTCATTTTTGGACAATATCATGTTTGGTTCTTGCAAATATTCACAGTCATCTATTCATACGGTGGGTGGTTGCGAAATCCTGCACCAGTTGATAGGTACTGTAGTTTATCCATGTTTATCCCACTATTTTTAGGGTTTCAACTAGTTTCAACCATCCAAGGTGGTGCACGATTTCTTCCATCCACAGCATCTACATAATGATGCATATACCATCATATACCTATGTAAATATATTTTGTTTTCCATGGACATACCCCCAAGTCATCTGGTTGGTGGTATACCTACCCCTCTGAAAAATGATGGAGTTCGTCAGTTGGGATGATGAAATTCCCAACTGAATGGAAAAATAATCGAAATGTTCCAGTCACCACCAACCAGTCATGTATATTGCAATTATGGCCCGGTAAACCAGATTATAAATGGTGATTTTCCATTTAGTTTTATATTACAAAAAAAAAGAATGTTCCAAACCACCAACCAGTCATCCGTTTAAGATTGGGATTTTCCATTACCATCTATTCTGGGCTACCCCCATCTTTAGAAGACCTCTCCCAGTCGCCACGGGGGCCCTTGGGTCACGGACATCAATGTCCTAGGAACGCCAAACGCGAAACGGCAGGCCATCGTGCTATGATGTTTTAAGCTGACTTTCATGGAATATAATGGGAATATCATAGGAATATATATATATATGCATATGAATATATATATATATTATATTATATTATATTATATTATATCATATTATATTATATCATATTATATTATATTATATTATGTATAAATGTATATATATATATAGGGAATGGCAATAGTAATGTGTCTGGCAATAATGATCAAAGAGTTGCCGGCGGTGAAAAAAAAACCACCATTCCAGGGAGGGAGAACAGTGAAGTCATTGTAATCTGCTTGGTGGTGCAATAACCTACCATTGGTTGGTCATATATAGTAAGTAAAAACCACCAATCAATAATGGTTAATGGTTATTATATGGTTAATGATGGTAGGTAATTATATGGTTAATGATGGTTAATAATATTAATGGTAGGTCAATATGGTTTATATTAATGGTTATTATACGTATGGTTCATGATGGTTAATCATATTTTGGTTAGTGGTGCAATTTCACCATCTTGAAAAATGATGGAGTGAACGTCAATGGGAAGGATGACATCCCATATATCCTGGAAAATAAAATTCATGTTTGAAACCACCAACCAGTAATTTATCCAGCGTCATGAGGTTGCACAACTATTGCAACGAAAAACACTAGGAATTCAGTGGTAGAGGATACTCCGCGGCCACCACAATTTCACAAAGGTTTTAACAAATGGTGTCCAAAGTACCTCGCAAGAAATGTAACCCACAGAAAGAGCTTAAAGTAATCAACCAAAATGGGGGTTTCCATCAACGGGAAAACCCAAAAATAGATGGTTTATAATGGAAAATCCTATTAAAATGGATGATGTGGGGGGAGTACCCCATTTTAGGAAATTTCAAAAAATGAGGATGGGAAGAACGTTGACAAACAACAAGCAAAACCTGTTTCCTTCGCAAAGCAGAGTGGCATTTAGTTCCAAGACAAAATTATTCACATCATTGTTAGGTGAATAATAATAATTATTATTAGATCTTGATTATGTTAATTATTCACATCATTACAACATTAGACTAATAATATGATTTATATAATGTTGGATCTTGATCTTGCGGTGA